GCTTGGTATTCAGACAAGGCAGCCATCAACAGGCACAGAGATAAGCAAGGACTCCACAGTTCAACCCTGAGCTACACATATTCTCTTCTGTTGTATTTATTATTTTGTTTAAGACTATGAACTATGAAATACTTAGAAACTCCTCAGTGCACTCCGGTGCGGTTCCTAAGTACAGTACTTAATTTGTAGTATTTACTGAGGGGGTACTCAATTTGTAACACTTGTGACAGTGAAGTTCTACATTAAGCATTTTATGACCTGCCTTTTTAAAGCTAGACATTGCAAATGCTTTCTCTTTGACGCATTTGAATCCCAGTGGGGAACAGAATGGTGTACTAACCTTCTTCTTCCAGGCAAACTGCCGCTTTCACATGGATTCAAATGGAAACTATTTTGTTTTCTTTAGTTCTGTTTTACATTATAATTGCAAAGGATGAGCAAGTGGTATGTTTATTGCTATTGTGAATAAATAAATAAACAGCTAGATAGCAAGTTAGTTAAATGAATAATCATTCAATTCTGAGTAGTATGTTCAGAATTGTGCTGGTTTGGATCAACAGCAAAGCTTAATTCTACTTGTTTCAGGGAATGGAGCGCTTTTGTTTTGACCCTCTCATTTTGGTTATGAAAGAAATGTTGCCTAATCCTTTTCAAGAAAAAGATGTGCCTGGAAAGTTTAACATGCTGAGAAAGAGTGACATGAGACTGAAGAAGAACAAGATTTAGAGATATAGACAATAACTAAAAGTTCTCCATTCATAGACTGGCCCTGAACACAGCGGTTTTGTGAATTGCTTTGCACCAACCAATCGGTAAGGTTGTGACTAGGAAGGTGAAAGAGTCTGGTTGTTCTGAGGGGACGCAGAGGAAAAGACAATGTTTTTGTCCTGCTAAAGCTTGCAGCCCTTAATCTTGCTCAGCAATAAGCTATGACCTGATACTGGGAGGGGAGGGGGAGAAAATATTCCTGCTATTTCCCTGCCTCTCCTACTTACAGTTGCCATGCGAAATACTGATTGGCTCAGGATCTTCTGGGAAATCAGCCCCAGCAAAGTGTAGCAGTGTGAAATATAGCAGCAAGGCTTCTGACCTCATAGTAGTTCAACTGGGAGACTATTCCTTCACTTCACCCTGTGAAAGACAAACAAGAGAATAAGAGCTTTTTTATCAGCTGGTACTTAGACACTATAAACAAAGATATATCCCCCAAAGCCATTAAGTAACAAAGGGGAGCTTCTCCTGCCTTTTGGATATGCACAGTAAAATATTACATATATTCATTTTAAAAGAAAAAGACTGGCCAAACAGTAAGTATTAACACAGAGCAGCAAAGGCATCTTCTCTGCCCCTAGAAATTGCTACAAACTATCAGAGAATATTTTCTGTCTGCCATTGGTGTTTTAGTCTCCAGTAAGAAACTCTGTCCTCTGAGGGTTAGTTCCCGTAGCTAGTTATAAAAGCCAAGTCAGCTCTAGTCATTGGATTAACCTAATTATCTTCTACTTAATGTATTAATTTTAATTAATTTACTTAATAAAAAAATACAGGGAGTGCTTTGTTACACAAATTCTCATGTCTAAAGTGATACTATACAGAGGTTTATGTGCCTCGGCAAACTTCATGGGGGCGCTGAACCAATAGGATAAATCAGTATGGGAGGGGTTTTTAGTCCCATTCTGTTCAGTTTTCATTATTTTCCAGAATTTTAAAATTTTAAGGAAATTTTTATTTTTTTCAAGAAAGTTGTTTTAGTTTGTGCTTGCCTGTCATTCCAGATTTATGGAAAGAAAATTAAAGCTTTCTAACTAAGTTTGAGAAAGTCCATTTGGCACATATAAATTGCTAGCTTGTCCCTTTGAAACTCTATCTAATATTAATACACATGTGTCCTTTCCTTGTGTCAAAACAAGCATTAATAAACTCTGCCTTATTTCAGAATGAAATTTCACAGCCAATATTGGCTTATTTGTCCAGTTATAAACAGTGATTAATTCTGTGATTCAGGTATATACTTTTAAATTAAAACACCTTATATAGTCAAGGAGAAGAGTTGGATATTTCTTAATACTCTGTGAAGAATCTTAAATTATGCAAGGGAAATTATATTACTTTTAATTGCTTATGTTTAACCATAGACAGTTTTAAAATTACCAATCTAGGAATGCATGTAAAGGAGATATGTGAGTGGGAACACATATTTTTAAAGTCATGTATGTTCACACCAGAGGAAAGCAGCTGTGTGAACAATCACAAGAAATGAATTTAAGCAACTTAAACATGCACAAGAGTCACCCATTCTTTGCACGTAATTAAAATAAATTACCTTTATACTTAGAACTACAAAATCTGGACTGCAAAAATCCAGATAATCACAAGAGGGCAACAAGAAGTTATAGTTTTGTGGATTTCTTTGCTGTCAACTAGTCGATGTCTTGGTTTTTGCAGCCTAGATTTGTAGCTCTACACATACTGGGAATAACTCATAAGCAACTTTTCAGTTTTGACATTACATCAGCAGACTCCTGCTTCACAGCTCATACATTTTCAGCTTTCCTAACCTAATGTCCCAAACTGATTAAAGTCCAGCAGACCTAGAAGGTTCTGGGTTGGGGAAGGAAGATGTCTATCAACATGAGTAGAAAGTCTTATTTATATATATATAAGTTGGCAGTTGCATAAATAGTGCCCTCCAAACCCCTGTTCAGAAAGGGGGAGCAGACCTCCAGCTCAAGCTACAGTTCAAAATGCTTTACACTATTTATTTAAGCATGGGAAAAATATTGCTAGCAGTAATTCCACCCCACTGAAGTTGGATTATGCTTGAGATCTCACTACAGTTCACGTATGCTTTTGCTCATTTATCAAACTATTTTTCTTCCATTACAAGTGTAGTAAAGTTTCAGAATAAAAGGATCACAAGAGTGTTCATACTCATAGGAGCACAGCAGAGACAGTGGGACTCTATAGAATAAGTGACCTATTAAATATTAGAACAATAATCACACTATATTTATTTAAACTCTTTATGTCCTAAGAAACAATAGCTTGCTTTTGCATAAAAAGTTCATTTAAGAAATTAAGAAATAAAAGCAAATACGAAATATCACACTTATATAGTTTAAACTTTTTTTGGGGTGACTTCTGTGAACACATTTTAGAGTAACAATTTTTTTAAAAAAAGCTTTTCAATTTTTTCTCCCTTTGGACAAATATCATACTCTTCTGGAAAGCGAATAGAAAGAAGGATGTTTATCCAAAGAAAATGAATCAACTCACTGATGTTTTAATTATAAACATTTTCACTCACAAGATTAAGCTGACTATTAATGACTATTAATTCCTATTAACATGGGATATAGGGAGCCTCCAGAGAGAAGGACAAGTACTTTATGTTGATTTTGTCAGCCCATGAGCTACCTAACTACATGCTTAGGAGAAGTATGAAGGTACTTTAACTCTTAAAAAAATAAGGTAGAGCAAGCATGCAGAACATGGCTTCTGGAATTGTTTTGAATCCCTTAATAGCAGGTTGATTCTGAGACACATTATCGGGATGGAAGAGGGCTTAAGAATGGAACTGTTGGAAGCATTCCAAATCACTGGCCAAAACCCTTTTCCATATTGAGGGAATTATTTTCTGTGCAGTCCTCAGTTTTAGGCTCATTTTCAGACTTGACCCCCCCCCCCCCCCCCCCCCCCCCC